TGGGCGACATAGAAAAAAAGCTTATCGATAAAAAAAAATGCATATTGATCGATATCGATAATTATTGAAAAAATTTGAAACCATATTTTATGTGCAGCTCTGCCTGGACTTTTTATGATATTGCTAAATGATTTAATTTTAATAAAGAAGACAAACACAGAGTTCCAATTAACTCTTTATTTAACCAAGTTTAACCATAACAGAATTGTTTAAACAAAAATAGCTTAAAAGACCTGAGTTATGTTATTAAATTAAAGAAAAATAAATTAAGAGACCTGAGCTATGTTATTAAATTAAGAAAAAATAATTAAAGAGACCTGCGTTATGTTATTGAATACTGACAAAGAAACTAAAGTGAACAGAAAAGTGACCGAAATAAATATAAAAAATAAATAAAAAATAAATAGAATGCCCTATTTGGGTGGGAATAGAAAACCAAGGACTAGGCTACAATGTAAACAAACTCCACTCAACAAATACAAAAACCCAAACAAAAAAACCAAAAAACAAAGAGTAGGACTGGCTTTCACATGTTGTTCAACTCAAATTGTTAGCAAGGAAGACAAGTTGGTTCACTTTATGAGGTTTTAAGGCAGCCCTGCTGCATGTCACAACATTCCCACCAGAACTGAAAATCCGTTCAGAAGGGGAGCTGGTGGCTGGGATACATAAGTACTTTTTAGCAAGTAGGCTTAGTCTTGGAAATAGATGCTCATTGTCCTTCCACCACAGTAATGGGTTACATTCGGAGTCTGCATCTGGTGATTCCAAATATCTCTCCAACTCGCTTTCTACCTTTTCCTTGTCAGTGAGATGTTTTGAGGCAGCGGGGCACTGTTTCTTAAAGAAGCTCCCCAACGATTTCCGCTGCTTTTTCCCAGCTGGTTTATGTTCTCCACTGCCTTCTTCTGTACCTGTTGACACTGCACCTGAAACAGAGGGTGGGTGGGGGGATTCTGAGACAGAGGGGAGCACAAATAAGTTCTAAAGACAAAAAGTTTTCTATATTGAAACAAAATAATTCTACGTGTTGGGATTTTTAGTACATATGTTGTTTAAAGTAAAGGATTTTAACAACTATATAAAAAAACTTCCATCAGTTTAAAAGAAAGCAATCTTTATCAACCCACCTGGTACTTTTTTAGTCCCTGTATGGAACTGGCCAGCATCCATGATTTCAGACACTGCTCTTGTTTTGATGGCTTCAGCTCTGTCTTTCTTAGTATATGCCAGCTTAAATCTGGGGTCAACCAAGGTGGCCATGTCAAGCATGTTTTCTGTGTCAGGATCTGAATATTTTTCATCAAGGTATGCCATGATTTTGGTCTTCATTTCTTTTGTGAGTGGTGTGTCTTCTTTACTCAGATGCAGGTGTTGAGAACGGAACAGATGGAGCACAGGCTTTACATATGACACAGTTACATATGACTCTCCAGAGAGGCTGTCTGTAAACTCCATCAGAGGACCTAATGCTTCAACAATAGACTCCCAGACCTCTATGTCCTGCCACTGCGGTACCAGGTGCCGTGTCTGTTTGTCTGCAGCCAGGACTTTGGAGATGGGCTTCTGTTGCTCCAGCACTCTTGCAATCATTTTTTGTTGAGAGCCCCATCTGGTTGCAGATTCTGTGCATAGTTTGTGAGTGGGGACCCCAAACTCTATCTGAGCCTCCGCCAGATCTCTCTTCTTTTTCCAGGAATAGCTAAATGCTGCCACAACTTTTTTGCACACAGCAACAGCCCTTTCCACTCGCTTGTCTTTGGAAGCTGCACCTGAAATAGAAAAAAAAAATAGAAAATGTCTTTTTAAATAAAAGTTATTTAAAAAGACAAGCAAGCCATAATTTGCATCATTAAACACCCTGTTATAAATCATTATCATAACTTTTAAACCATGGACCATAATGATATTGCTTACACATTATTTTAAAATGTTATTAATTTAAATTTTAGTATTTATTTTGATAAAATTTAAGTTTTTATACTATATCATATTTCTTCAGACATTTGGTTTGTGTGCCAAATAAAGCTGATTCTGATTTAATTCAGTAACAAACTACTCACCGATGGCAGAGTGTAGACGGTGCCCAAAACACTGGAGCAGAGTCCAGTGATTGAGTGTTGTGGCTTTCACGATGTTAGCACCGCTATCAGTTGTAATGCAGACGTGTTTGTCTTCATTCAGACCCCATGACTCCAGTAATTCTGTCAAGCCTTTTGCAATCATCTCTGCTGTGTGGTCGTCCGGAAAGTACGCTGTTTCTAGACACTTACTTCTCAGGTTCCATTCTCTGTCTATGTAGTGAATTGATAGGCTGAGGTAAGGCTCGGATGTGCGACTTGACCAGAGGTCCGACGTTGTAGCATAGTAACATACAGAAAGCAGCTCACTTTTGACTGATTCCCTGCACTCATTGCACAAATTTGGGAGCGCTGTGTTTGAGAAAAACTTTCGGCCCGGAACTTTGTATCGTGGATCCAGAGTGGCGAGCAGCTGTTTGAACCCAGGTTTTTTCAACAGCAGAGAACGGCAGCATATCCTTTGCTATGAAGCATGTTATAGCATGAGTGATGTCCTTGTGCCGCTTGGATGCTTTGTCGTATTTATCAGAAACCAGGAAGTCCAATTTAGCTTGCGTCGCCTGCTTTGTTTTGGCAGAAATTCCCGACGCTTCCTCGGAGGATGATGCAGAGCCATGCCGGGGCCTACACAGCTCGTACTCCTGCGGGTGTGAGCGGCTGAGATGATAGAATAAGTTGGTTGTATTGCCAGACTTAGTTTTCACGGTTTCCCTACAGATTTTACATATTACTGTAGTTTGTTTTTTGTCCGACTTTCTGTAGCCAAAATACTGCCAAACTGGCGAGCTACAAAACCCCCTCTTCGGTACAATTTCCTCCGCCTCTCCTTGCTGCGACATCTTCACATGCTCTGTGTTGTGGTTTGGGAGGGTGGCGCTTGGTGACGGCGTGCCTGGGTCCGCGATTGTGATTGGTTGGGAGGAAGTAGTGACTAGCATAAGCCTACATGATAGGCTACAATGAGAAGGAAGGAAAACTGCGTTTCTTTTTTATCGACCCTCTTTTTTTCTATTGCGCCACACGTCTATCGACCGATATATATCGTTATCGAATTATCGCCCAGCCCTAATCAAAACCTACCAGCAAAATATGTTCACTTTTATTATTGTGGTCCCTGCAGTTTGTACCACATACCTGAAAAAAACGTTTAAGATCTACCTCTAGCCGCCTCCAACAGAAAGTTAAACCCCCAAGAGGTGACCAGGCCTGAGGCAGCTGCTGCTGGGGATTCCCAGTGACAGCGCACCGCCGGTCTGTGGGGGTCTAAGCGGCTCAGACAGCAAAATAATATCATAAGGCAGAATCGAGATCTTGATGAACTGACTGCACAGACAATGTTTTAAGGTGGACTTTCTCACATAAAAATACACAGCAAATATAGCAAAGCCGCTCTCTGCGATTGAACACAGGAGCATCAGATGCAACTGGAAACACTTTACTGGACGCCTGAACATAATGTGGACAAAAGCATTAAAAATTAAGCAGGAGGTGCTTTCTTCCTGCTCAAATTGCGGTCTGAACGTAGCCTTACACTTTCTGATTGTTTGAATTAACCTATAAAACATAATATTGTACCTAAAAATGATATTATCTCTTCCTTATGAAATTTCTACCTCGAGTCAGGCACACTTACTTCCCATAATCAAGAATATACAAAAATAGTGTTGAAATAAAGACAAAAACGCTAGCGGCATTCCACCTCAAAATGCATGAAATAGCGTTTCAAAGAGTCTAAATTTTAAAAGATGTGATACACCAAGGCGTGCACCCTATGGAATATTTCTCTCTAAAAGTCTGTAACAGGTGTTGGATACGAAATCTGCAGTGTTACAGTTAGTCAGGGCTCCAGCACCAGTAAGGCAAAAAAATACCACAGATTTTAGCCAATATCTAAATCAGCACCACAAAAATTTATTATATTTATAGTCTTATGTCACTGCTCAAATTAAACTTCCGTATTTTAATTCTATAGTTCTATGTTCTGTTTCTTGGTCATGAATCATATTTTTGGTTATTATGAGAATTTGAGTTGGAATATAGTTGGACAGGGCATATCATTGTTGTTTGTCCGTTTTTTTCAATATTCTGGCTGATATGTATTGGAAATCGTTCTTTTTTTAAAGCCCCCAGTATTTTTATCCATCTTCAAAATCCCATATTGGTCGGACTTAACATTGAACACAGCACCGAACGGGGTTCATGGAGATACGGGCAGCAGGCAGAGTTTTCCGTTTACAGTCTAGCAGCTCAGCGTCACATTATTGAGAGCAGAGACGCTGCCATATTTTTTTCTGCTGGTTTTTGGATGACCGGGCGGAAACAAAGGCCAATCCATTTGTCCGCTGGTTGCTCATGTGGGCCTAATGGCTTTTATTTGAGTGTGATCGGCTGTTAAGGTGGACCTGAAAGTTGGCTGGAAGAAAGCTCTTCATCTGCCAACTGTGCTTTTCATCTGGTTCTCCATTTTCTACATCAGTCAGTGTATTCCTCTAAAACCGTATTCACTCCCCTGTTGGAGGAAAGATGGTAAAGTTCACATTATCCTATGATGGGAAATGATTGGTAAATGATGGAAACATGGATTCATCTGACCAAAGAATGCTGGACACAGAGAACATGGCTATATTTCTGCATGTAATGAAAATCATCTGTTACATGGAACTAGTTTGATTCTCTGTGGTTGCATAGGTACAATAGATGGTTTATATATATTGGTATATCTATATGGAGAACAAGGAAAAAGACAAACAACCATTATAAATATAGCATTTCTCATCTCTCATTGGTTGTGTTGCAACACATGGTCCACAAATTGACCAATGAGTTGGAATGCACTGGAAATCCTACCACCAGAAATGTTCAGCTAAAAGTGATTGGAAAGGGCATTTTCTGCTGTTGGCCAATAGACATTTAACACCCAAACAACATGGCCAAAACTTGTGATGACACAACAAACAGCACATTCAGCACTGGGAGGGTCAAGAATAGAAAGCAAACAGCACAGCCAACATGCAGAAACGTTGTCAAGCTTGTGAGAAGTAAAGCCCTTGAGCACAGGGGGGTGGGGCGGAGTTTGTCAGAGTTTAGAGCGTAGGAGAAAGGCTTTGCGTGGGGGGAGCGAGTTAAAGGCAGCACATCGGTCTCACTATGCGCTCAGGTCAGTGACACAAATTTGCTTGGATAGCCAAGCGTTCCCATCACCTTTCAGAATCTGAGAAGGATGTGACACGGAAAAGAAAACCGACAGCGAACATGGCCACTCCGTCTGCGGTGGACATGTTTGAAAAGGCAAGAAAGATTCCCAGCAAAACAATAAAGCATACTTACCCTGGCTTCCTGCCATGTTGCTCTCCATTGTTTACTTTCCTGATTTCTGTCGCACAGGTGACATCATCAACGCTAACCCAGCGTGATGGTGTCACCAGGCACGCAGTATTGCGGGAGACAGAGGCCACGCAGCAGCCAGTGGGGGGGTTAGACTCAGTTTTTTTTCCAAAGGGAAGAGAGCCAAATGCCGATTGTTAATGGGTCGACTCGTATTTGAAAATCCGGGGTTAACCCGCTAAGTTAAGTGGGATACAGGCTTCAGATCCCTACAGATGTGTCGGATGAGCACTGTTGCTCTCCTATGTGCTTCACACATGACACAACACCACAACATCAAGTCAGACATTGCAGTATAAACTGTGTGCTTTTTTTTTTTTTTCAATCGTTGCACGCAGCTACAGCTCATGATGAATGTTCTCAAACTGTACGGCACGACGCTCTGATGCGACCGGCCTGCTTACACTGTACATCTAAAAACCACGTCAGACTATGCTCTGCAGTGAGATGGCGCTCCGGACTCGTCTATCCGGAAGCCAAACCAGTAGAAGAGGAATATGAAGCTGACGAGAATGAAACGTGCTGCCTTGGTAATCGGTGCAATTTTGTGCTGAAAGCCCTAAAAAGAAAAGCCGATGAAGTATTTGGACAAAGACGTTACTGAGCAAACGTGTCTACTACAGTCTGTCAATTTTACTTGCACCCCCGCCATGCTTCTGTGTTTACATCTGAGGAAAAATTCTTGTTTGCCCACTGAGCGATTTGCCCACGGCCACCTTACGACGGCTGACTGAATTTCTGAACATGTTTGATTTTCTCACGATTCTTGATCAAGATGTGGTCATGAGTAGGGGTGGGTATTGCTGAAGACGTCACGATTCGATTTGAATCACGATTCATATGCCACAATGCGATTCTATCACGATGTATCACGATACTTGAATTATTGCGATGCATTGCAATATTTTCTCCTCCATGTTTTGTTTTTGAATGACTCG